TTGTTGTCGACCACCATAGAGCAGGAAGAAGAAATCATCATTCTCACCATCATATGGATTTACTTTCATGGGCTAGACACCGGCCTCACAGCTCTGTGAATGTCAGTGCCGTCATTTATTGATCCACGATCTGTAAATGTAGCTTCTGTGGATGCGCTACTTGACTAAAGAAAGAGCTTCGCTACTGAAAAGCGACGCTACTGCCCAACCCTGGTAATCCTTTTCTAAGGGTCACGAAACATCAAAAAAACATTTTTAATATGCTGCCAGTCATGCATATGTCCCATGTTGCCAAAAACACTATTAGGACATATATATATTTAGCTAACAAGTAAAAATTTGTTGTTTTTGCATTGTTGAAAGCAAATTCGTTCCTCCAGTTTGAAAAGAAAGTTTAAAGCTACGTCAGGGTAATTAGATCCTTGTGTAAATTCCAATGTCGAGATTTGCTGTATGTACCGGCCGGTACAAAGTGACATAAACGAGTTTTCAGCACATTTGTTCGTTAATTTATGAGAAAGGATTGGTGCAAACCAATCAGCACCCTCTATTGTGAACGAGATGCAACTTCATTAATATGAATGAGCTTCAAAGACTGTTATCTGTTGCAGTGTTCAGATCGATGCCACCTTTTGTAGCCAACCGTAATTCAAACAAGCAGTAGGATAAATGTTCCAAGACATAGGTCGTCAGTTTTGCATTTATAAGTGTGCCCCAGCGAAGGTTTGTTTCTGTTTCCCCCTTGATGGGAGCACCGCTGGCGTGTGGACACATATGTGTGGATTACAGTGGTCTGCTGACATGCAAAAAAATGTGTTTGTAAGGAAAATTTTTTACCCAAGAGCTTTTCGAATGTAAATGGTAAAATCTGTATTTGCTACTAGTCTTCTTTTAAAAAAAGATGCAGTTCCAGTTAATGTTGATTGTCCAGTCTCTACAGATTTGGTAAGTGAGTGATCAATGTTCTTTGTTTGTTTATATCAGATGACAAAGTTAGTTAGTATCATCAGCAGTTTTTAGGGTAATACCTTAGTCAAAATGATTTAGCTACTAAATTTATTGTAATATCACCACAACATTATGAACTGAAAATCCTCCACTTTCACACAGCTCTCAGATCCACTGTAAATGCTGCTCTCCGAATTCCTGTCTATCTCCCCTGCTTCTGTGTTTGTGTTGCTGGTGTAAAGAAATCAGCTTTAACGCATGTAATGAAACCCCTCTTTTGCCACTTGACACTCCCACCTAAACAAAGCTGGACTCAACCGCTGTCTCTCTTTGAAATTCTGTAATTTTACCAAATTAGTCTGTATTTTCTTGAGCTTAATTTTTTTTATTAATAACATTTAGTGTGATTACTTATTATTTTATTATTCATTTAATAACTACAAGTGCCAGTAGTATGATTTTTTATTAGATTAGATTAGATTAGATTAGATTAGATTAGATTAGATTAGATTAGATTAGATTAGATTAGATTAGATTCAACTTTATCATCATTACACATTTACAATACAAGGCAACAAAATGCAGTTTAGGTCTAACCAGGAGTGCAATAACACCAAGTGCAGAATATAGCCATAAGTTATAATGTGCAATTATAGAAAAACTATGATGAAATTTACAAATGGATGTACTATGAACATTATTTACAGGTTGTATTAGCTATGAACTGAGATTTACAGTAGATGAAAATATGTAAAGTTTATTATTAATAATCAGAAGTATGCCGATAGATAAACATAATTACAAATGTATATGTACATTGGGTGTGTACATAAATACAAATGCCCATGTGCTGTGGGGATGTCAGTTCAAATAAATGAATCAGTGCAATGTTGTGCAATTAAAATGTGCAATTTTTAATTGTGCAAATGTTAAATAGTGCTGTGATTATGAGGTGTATAAGTTATGAGGAGAGTGGAGGTTTATTAGGAGTGCAAAAGAGTGCAAAAGAGTCAGTGGGGGGCAGAGTTTAAAAGGGAGACAGCTCTGGGGAAAAAGCTGTTCCTTAGTCTGCATATTGGTTTTGGGGTCATTTTACAGAAATGCCAGACTAACTAAACATAAATTAGACTTTGAAAACTCTTCTTTATATTTTAAAATGAAACAATATTTTACTTTAACATTTACACATTTTAGTCTTCAATGCTGAAATAGTCATTGTTTATTGATTAATTGTCTAATTACTTGTGTAAAATTCCAAGCACCACAAAGCTGCTTTTTTATGAAACAGCAATTTCAAAATACAATAATATATGCATAATGGCCAAGTATATGATGTAAATGACAGGAAAACTAAATGCCAAAGAAACATCATAAAATAATGAATGTTGTAGTCACTGGTGTCACCATTTAACAAAAATGTATTCTTTTGAAATCCTTTTGATGACATAACTTGATTATTTTTATTATTTCATGATTTCATATAAACCATTTACGTTGCACCACTTGTGTGATCACATATTGTTAGAGAATTGTTTTAAAAATCAAGAACTTAGATGAATTAAACTGATTTTATTAAGTACACCACCATGATTCTTAACCTGTGGTTACCTTGCAGCAGACATTTACTAAAATGCATTGATAATTTGTCACTTATAATGATTTTCTTCGCTGTTGCCCCCAAGAAAAGCAACATGTTTCACACTGGTGTTACTGTGTTCATTCTACAAAAGCACCAATTTATTAAACTTAAAGGTGCACGTTTTTTGTAACCCTATTACTCAAATTAGTTGGAGGAAATAGTTTACTAGATCAAATTAGTTCAATCATCCTATAGGGTTTTCAGTTTATAGTGAAACCAGTAGTGCCATGAAACAGGTCATCAACAAAGAGCATCAATGAAAACTGGTCGTTTTGTTATTTGAAAATGGATGTACTTAGATTGCAAACTCACATGGTTTAGATTTTAAGCTGCAGCAACCTCCCCAGGTGACAGCAAATTCGATTTTTGAGCATCTGCTTGGCACAGTGTGAAAATTTGCGCTAATTACTTTATAATCTAATCTTTGTGTTTACTAAAATCACATGTTAGAAGGTGCTTGGGTGATCTTTGGATGATTAAATTCTTCAGTATACGCGCTATCTTAGATGGTATTGATGGTGAGGGCATTCTAATCCCTTTAGAAACCCAGCACATCTCATCCCCTTAACTAGCCCTCTGGTTAATGTGAAATTACTGGGTGTACATTGCGAAAAATATGTATGGATAACGACAATGTGACCTATATGATGACAGTCCAGATTGACAGGCGCAAAGCGAAAGCGAGCGCGAATGTTGTCAAGTGACGCGCGAGGGAATTAAAAGAGGTGGAAAGTCTGTGAATGCGCGCGCTGCAGCAGCGAAGGAGACGCGCACGGACAGTCACACTTCACTCTGCAACTGGAGGAGAAAACACCAGCTAAGGATGCGGTCGAAAGCACATACTGGTGAATATCACCCGAAACTTACTTTCTGCAAACTATTTAGTTCATTTAAAAGGTACTTTCTCTGAAAAAAGCATAGATTGGTGCCTTGCAAATCTGACTAACTCTTTGATTGAGACGAATGTCACCTTGCGAACAGGTGTTTGTTAGATGGGGAACTACCGTTTTCTTTCATCACATCTCTGTGCATTCGAACTTGAAGATCGGGTTTTAGAAGCACATGAAGGATGAATGAATTAATCAAGTTTTTTTATGCATTGAGATGTTCAAACAACTAATTTCAAGGTCATTGGATTTCTTCTAACGGATCATCCCATTGCATCAGGTAGGTTATGTCTGGATATTATAATATAATTAAATAATTATTATTACAATAAACTATTGAAATGAGATGTTATTGATGAATGAGAATATTAGCATGTTTTCGACTTGTAATTCACATTCTAAAACTAGATTTTAAGATTTTATGTAGAGATACATGTAGAGATGTTTTAGCAATTCATTTAAAACTAAACCATGGTTTTACTACAGTAAATGCTGTTTAACCATGGCATTTGTTGTAAAACTGTCATTACTATGCCCAAAGTAAATGATAAATGTTGCTGTTCAGTAGACATTCAAGTGGCAGGTGACGTTTTTTTTTTTTTTTTTTTTTTGCAGAACCATAGCAAAGAGTAAAAAAAAAACACAATGGCAAAACAAAGTACATACGCATGGCTCTGGTGATTAATTTAAGTCTTATAAAGCAAAATATGAGCATGTTCCAGCACAAAAGTCATTATGCAACATGTCATGAGCACATTCAATGTTAAAGTGTAAATACAATAATATAATATTCAGTTTCTTGCACAGACTAAATGCTTTTCTTTGTAAGACCTTAGCATCATCAGAAACCACAAGTATTAATATTGGTTTTGCTTATGTTTATTGACACCGACTTGCATTTAGAACCACAGTTTCTTCTTTAAAATCTCCTTTAGTGTTTTACTGAAGAAAACATCTTGGCTTAAGGGATAGTAAATTAACACATTTTTAATTTGAGGTCAACTATTCAAGATCATTCAAAAAATTAATAATATTCAGTATCAAACTTGCATTTTTATGCAAAAACAAACACTTTGCTATCATGTATTAGTTCATGTTACAATCAGGTTACATAAGATATTGTTAGTTAAGTTAGTCAAACAACAAATGTTATTACATTTATATTTGTTAACATCAGCTACTGAAAATATACTTGACTAATGTTACAAGCATGCATTTTGATTTTAATAATGCATTACTAAATGTTGAGTTATGATTATTAAATGCTGTACAAGTATTGTTTATTACTACTTCATGTTAGTTTATACATGAATCTAACAGAGCTTTATTGTAAAGTATGACCAAAAAAAAAAAAATGTGTATACATATGTTATTATTTGTAATGATACTTACTTATTTTTATATATTTTTTTTTTTTCGTTGTTGTTGTTGTTTTTGTAATTCAACTCTAGCGCTGTAATATAAAGGAGCCTTTCCATTTACTGGAAATCATGAATCGTCTGTGATCCTCACTGTACAGCAGGGTGTCGAGCAAATGCAGCAAACACACGCTTTCGCTCTTCAGTGATGAATGACAGCTCTCCAACATCTGAGAACATCATGTTTCACCAGCTGACTGCAGATACTCTGAATGGCAGTTGTGATTTGCCCACGTGTAACAATAACACAGGTGAAGCGGCATTGCAGCTGCCCACATTTTCCATGGCAGCAAAAGTGAGGGTGATAATTACCTTCACTCTTTGCGCAGTGTCAGCTGTGTGCAACCTCGGCGTGTTGTGGGCTGCCAGCACCAACAACAAGCGCAAGTCCCATGTACGAATTTTAATCATGAACCTCACCGTTGCCGACCTACTGGTGACTTTCATCGTGATGCCAGTGGATGCAGCTTGGAACATCACAGTTCAGTGGCTGGCGGGAGATCTGGCTTGCAGATTGTTAATGTTTCTGAAGCTCGTGGCTATGTACTCCTGTGCATTTGTGACCGTGGTCATAAGCCTAGACAGACAGTCGGCCATTCTCAACCCTCTGGCCATTAATAAGGCTAAGAAGAAGAACAAAATAATGCTGAGCGTGGCCTGGGCGATGAGTGTTGTTCTCTCCGTCCCTCAGGTGAGGAGCTGCTTGAGTGATTTTTCATGTTTTTTCATTGTATCTTATCTCTGTGTGCTGCATTACTTAAATTCGACAGAACCCCAGAGTCTGCTGTAACACGCGGAATCAAGTAGAGAGATTAAAAATGACTAGATGTTTAGCTGCTTGCCTTTTTGAGTTAAGACTTGAAATATTCATATGTGTTATATATTTAATCTTATTTTAAGCTACAAACCCATTCACTGTAAATTAAATATGCATTACATAGTGTTTAGTTTAGTTTAGTTTAGTTTAGTTTAGTTTAGTTTAGTTTAGTTTAGTTTAGTTTTGTTTAGTTTAGTTTAATTTAATTTAGTTTAGTTTAGTTTAGTTGTAGCCTGTTATACAATTTTCCAGAGGTGGAAAGAGTACTGAAAATCATACTCAAGTAAAAGTACCATTACTTGCCCAAAGATGTACTGTAAGGAAGGTAAAGGTAGCCTATCTGTTGTAATTATCAATGAAAGTATGCATAAAAAGTAGTTCTTTTAAAAGTACTCTAGATTAGTATTACGCTGTGAAAAGCAGATGTGCTTACATGCAATTTGTGCGTGTGTGTAAACGTAACATTCTGTAGTGCATTTAGTTACTGTTTAAGACTATTTGATGATTTCAGTCATTATACAGTAAACATCTTTACAGTAAACAGTAAAGTGGCATGCAGTCTAAGCCATCTCTGGATCATTATGTGTAAAGATCACATCACATCTGTTTGCTGCATTTATAAAGTGCCCATTTCTTGTCGTAGTTCAGTATGATGCATTTTACTGTCTGTGTGGAATTTGATTAGACTGGAATCACAAGACTTTCTACTTTTTACTTTATCTGATCCCCATGGACAAGAAAAATAAAGTAGTGACTACAGGCTGAAGGAAAGAAGTTGAGTAAAAGTACCAATACAGCACTAAAAATGTCCGGAAGGGAACGTGCATGTACACATTTTTAAAACTACTCAGTAAATTACAATTCCTGAGAAAACTATTTAATTACAGTAATTTGATTATTTGTAATTGGTACTTTTGTTACTTCATCACTGCAATTTTCAGATATTTGTATGCACCCAAAATGAAAATTAGGAAGTGCCACTATGCTCAACAAGGCATTCTAAATGAAATACTGTAAGATGCTGTCTGCCCTCCCCATCCTCATAGAAAAACACACATTAATGTGATTTACTAGAACATAAAATATGTTTAGGGATTGTGTTTGCCAAAGCATTTTGGGCAGCTGAAAATACCAGGACTCTTCCAAAAATGCTCAATTGTGAGAGCACTTCTGCAGCTTAACTGATTTTTTTATGCAAAAGAGAGACTTAGCACCTCGTCACACTGCATGTTCTAAAAAAACACAGCACTTTCATTGAAAACTTCTAAAAAGTACACTTATTAAGGATACAGTATGAAGATAAAACACAGTGATTCTAGACACAGTAAGGAATTATTTACCATTTATATTAAATGAGCCTGTTACACTTTTCCTCCACGTCAGATCATTTCAGTCAGATCATAATTCTTGGCTTTGCCTGAAACCTCTGTTCATATTTTGAGATGAGGTTTTCCACTGCAGGTGATACTGTCACATCAAGCAGGTCTGTGCTATCCAGAGAAAATATGGAATTCCATAAAAAAAAAAAATATATATATATATATATATACACTCACTGGCCGTTTTATTGGGTACACCTTACTAATGCACAGTGTGGTCTGCGGCTGTAGCCCATCCGCCTCAAGATTTGACATGTTGTGCATTCAGAGATGCTCTTCCGCATACCTCGATTGTATCGAGTGTTGATATCTTTTATCAGCTGGAACCAGTCTGGTCATTCTCCTCTGACCTCTGGCATCAACAAGGCATTTACTCGCACAGAACTGCCACTCATTGGATAGTTCCTCTTTTTCAGGCTATTCTCTGTATACCCCAGAGATGGATGTACATGAAAATCCCAGTTTATCTTTTATATTGCCAAATAATGACAGAGAAAATAGCAAAATTAGAGCAAGACTTAAACCAAGTGCTTAATCTTAAAAATAACTAATCAACACACCCCAATATCAGGACTTGTATCTGCTTGCCTTTTTACATAGCTCATACTCTTCTTAACAAAACAGTCTTCTTAACAAAATACAAAGCCTCCTACAGCGGTTTATTAAAAAATTCAGAACAAAATGAGTCTTTTGTTGCCGTAGTATTACTTTTGGTCAAAAATAGCCAATACCAAATGCACAAGACACTAGAAGTTTGCTATAATTACAGTAGTGTCAATCATCCCAGTTACATGAGTGAAACTTGTTTTATACACACACAGACACAGAATTTTAATTTAGGGAATTTACTCTCCAATATAAAAACAACTTGTACATTTTTGTACAGTACTGTGTTATTTTGTTTTCCACAGAGGAGAAAAGAGCCATACAAGTTTGGAATGAATAAATAATGAATTTACTGTATTTTGTTTATATATTCACACAAGTATCTGGTATTCTCCCATGCCAAACTGTCTCACATATATATTACCAACCGCATGCACTTTAAATCAGACTTATTTCCTGTTCTCCCTAGACCTAATGTAAAATTACAATCAAAGCCTGAAAGTGTTGTAAAATTCATGTGAGATTAGCTGAGCAATTACAGAACACTCTCTCATCAGCCCTTTAATTTTACCTCGGATTTAACATAATGAGGGGCGCTTACTGAGACGCATTACTTGACATTACTAACGCACACACACAAAAGATTAATTATGCAGTCTGCAAGTCAATCAGATGTCTTTGCATTGTACATATATTTTCTTGAAGGAGTACAAATTACCTTCCAACTTAAACTGAATAAACGATTATAAAGACGAAAGCAGCATGAATTACTGAAACGAGTGTTAAAATGGAGTGATTCTCAATCAGAGCAGGCGTGCACATGTTAAAACACTCTGTGGTTGAAGTAATAAATGCCAAGACCTCTTTATTTGCTCCTCCTGATGAAGTAGAGCGTTTAAAATCAGTGTGCTTTTAGAGGAGGCTGATGATGGGTCAGCCGGTTAAAAGAACTAGCGTGGATTATAAGCATGAAATCTCCATGAAACATTTCTATGACAGCAGATTGTATTTGAATGAGTCCATTCAACACCGGTATAGAGGATATAAGGTCACAATATCGGCTATAGTGGATGTATTGTTGTCATGTTTTTATCTGCTATGTATGTGAATCATTTTGGAGGCATAAAAAGACAGAAGGTTGCTTGTGTCAATCTTCATTTGTCATTTGAGAAGCCCTTGTCACAGAATATGTAATCAGGCATCCCAGTATTTATAAAACATTGGCTGAATCCTGTCCATTCTTTTCTGAAGGCAATATATGCCACATCTAGTTTGCATAGTTGAAAGAGTTGACTTCATTAATTGGCTGTAGATGTGAATAACATTTAGCATTAAAGAGAGATTGGGGCAGAAAAGGCTAATTCTAATTGTAAGAGAATCTATTTCGAGCTTCTCCATATTACTAATTAGTTTGTCCTTCAGGCGTTTGTTTACATCATGCATTTTGAAGGTTTAGAACAAGCAAATTACTTGGGTTTGTAACCTGCTGACTTTTAATTCCCCAACAGATGTTCCTGTTTCACAATGTGACCATCACGGTGCCAGCCAATTTCACTCAGTGTACCACTCGAGGAAGCTTCGTCAAACACTGGCAGGAAACCATCTACAATATGTTCACATTCATATGCCTCTTTCTGATTCCTCTGGCCATCATGATCTGCTGCTACACAAGGATTCTAGTGGAAATCTCTCGAAGGATGACCAAAGGAAACAGTAGGTGGCTTTGCATTCAAAAGAAGACTAATGTTACATTACAAGTTGAGATAATCAGCCTGATGCATTCAAATGCTTTGTTTTTAAAAAGGATAACATGTAGAATCTCAGTTGTTAATAACTATATAAACATTCGCTCTGCTAAATAGCTTGATGATTAACGAAAATTAAAAAACAAAAATTAAATTATTTTACTGCACTCATTATGATAGATCTATAAAAAAATATTTGGCTGTTTTTCTTTTCTCAGAATGGCTTAACTTGTGCTGTAAAAAAGGGGGGATTTTTTAAGGTACTTTATGATATGTTGCCATATGGCAGCAACATCCAATAGTGAATCTAATTAAAAATTAATCATTTTGTTTGAAATGTTGTTTCAAATGTTGATTCAAATTTCTTTTTGCTGAATATTACTGAAAACAAGCAAAATATTGTATCATTATGTATACAACACAGTAGGTATAAATATTTCCTCCAGTAAATATTATAACCAATACATAACATGTCTAATATATCCAGATGCATCAGAATAATGTAGCTACTAGCTAACAATGTTTATATACTGTATTATACTATATACTATACTACACCTGTCTTATCTGCCTCTGAGCTAAATTACTTAAACTGTCTCCATCACTGCTCTTATCAAATGTACAATCTGCAGCATTCTCAGGGTCATTAAATACCATCTTATCCTCACTTTCATCTGCAGGAAGAGTCAGTTCTGTCCTTTTCTTTTTTCACTTAACATAGAACATGGTGGTGCCCGCTAATACACTGTTCCCTGTATTGATATCTAAACAAAAGTATTGCCATTAAAACTAGATTTTCTCCATAAACAAATGCTATTAACATATGACTAATCAACATTAAATTACTAGCATTCATGTTGTTATTGTTACTACTTAAAAGATCACAGCTGACCTATTGCAATATTGCACATTCCACCATTGCACAGTGTTGCCAATTGGCAACACATACATTTGATCGATTTACAAGAAACTAATTTGATAAAAAAAAATTTTGTTTTGAACATGTCGTCATAACTTACTGGAGGTGATGTCTCTGATTTTTCTTGCGAGTCTGACATGAGTTGATCCTTTGTTTTTATTGACGTTTACATTTGCATTTAGCAACTACTCACAATAAACGCCAGTCTGTCAGAAAACGTGCCACAGAAAAACACTGCATGTTATGTGACTTAACCAAAGCACTTCATTGGCTTAACTAAGGTCTTCTCAATAGAACATTGGTCTTAAAGAAACAGTGGCAGGGAAATAAAAATAAATATCATGTTGCCATATGGCAACACCGTGTGGTTAGGGCTAAACATTAATGCCTAAACAAAGGGATTTACTGTAGCTGTTGGGAAAAAAATAACAAAGAATAACATTAGCAGTCGTCCTTTACACCATGCTTAAATTTATGAAACTTAAATATTAAAATTACTTTGTAGTAAGTTTTCCTAGTAACAAATATTAATTTGCCGACCATTCATATCTGTTTTTTTGCTTGGAAACGCATGTTTATGGTAATTTAGATGATGATGCTTATCACCCTGAGAATGGATTAGTTTAAAAGTTTAAGCTGGGTGTCTTTAAATGACCCAGCTTTCAGCAACAACAAAAAACTGGGTAGTTTAGGTACATTTACACAACAGCTTTACACAAACATATTTGGAAAACTTTCTAAAAACACTGTATTATGTGTGCCAGGCTAGTAAGTGACAATGTAGTCAGTCATTGTTGTACAGCTTATAAAATACATATAAATTAGGTCCATAAATTTTGGGACGTAGACACAATTCTAACATTTTGGCTCTATACACCAATACAATGTATTTAATAAACTGCAGACTGTCAGCTTTAATTTGAGGGTATTTACATGCAAATCAGGTGAACGGTGTAGGAATTACAACAGTTTGTATATGCGCCTCCCTACTACTTGTTAAGGGTCCAAAAGCATTGGGGCAATCGGCCTCTAAGATGTTCTATGGCCAGGTGTGTGTTATACCCTAATTATCCAAGTTACAATGAGCAGATAAAAGGTCCAGAGTTCGTTTCAGTTGTGGAATGGTGGTATTTGCATTTGGAATCAGTTACTGTCAACTCTCAAGATGAGATCCAGAGCTGTCACTATCAGTCAGGCAAGCCATCATTAGGCTGAAAACACAAAACAAACATATTAGAAAGATAGCAAAAGCATGGCCAAAAAAAATAACTGTTTAGAAAATTCTTAAAAAGAAACCACTAGTGAGCTCAGCAACACCAAAGGACCCGGAAGACTACAAAAACAACTGTGGTGGATGACCAAAGAATTTTTTCTCTGATGAAGAAAACCTTTACAACAGTTGGCCAGATTAAGAACACTCTCCAGGAGGTACAGTAGGTGTACAGTATGCAAGTCAAAGTCAACTATCAAGTGAAGACTATACCAGAGTGAATACAGAGGGTTCACCAAAAGATGTTAACCATTGGTTAGCCTCAAAAACAGAAAGGCCAGATTAGAGTTCTAAAAATCCTTCAGTGCTGGAACAACATCCTATCTACAGATGAGATCAAGATCAACTTGAACCAGAGTGATGGGACAGGAAGAGAATGGAGATGGAAAGGAATTGCTTATAATCATAAGCAGTGAAGCATGATGGTAAACATGGTAGTGGGCATGTATGCCTGTCGATGGAACTGGTTTACTTGTATTTATTGATGATGTTAATGCTGACAAAAGCAGCAGGATGAATTCTATAGTGTTTCTGGCAAAATTTTCTGCTCATATTTAATCAAATGCTTCAGAATTCATTGCATTATTGGACGGTGCTTCACAGTGCAAATGGAGAATGACCCAAAGCATACTGCAAAAGCAACCAAAGAGTTTTTGAAGGGAAAGAAGTGAAATGTTAAGCAATGACCAAGTCAATCCCCTGACCTGAATCTGATTGTGCATGCATTTCACTTTCTGAAGACAAAACTTAAGGGAAACAAGCAAGAACTGAAGACAGTTGCTGTAGAGGCCTGGCAGAGCACCACCAAGAATAAAACCCAGTGTCTGCTGATGTCTATGCGTTCTAGACTTCAGACTGTAATTGACTACAAAGCATCTGCAACCAAGTATTAAATTGGTAAAGTTTGATTTATGATTATATTTTGGTTCCATTACTTTTGGACTCTTAAAAAGTGGGAGGCACATATGCAAACTATTTTAATTCCTACACCGTTTACCTGATTTGGATGTAAATACCCTCCAATTAAAGCTGACAGTCTGCAGTTAAAGCACAAATCTTTTCATTTCAAATCCATTGTGTTGGTGTATAGAGCTAAACATGTTAGAATTGTGTCCATGTCCCAATATTTATATACAGGTTTTTGCATGTAAATACTCAGGGGTGCAGATAACTGGAAGGCAGGTGCGCTTTTGCGTTTGGCATTTCAAAATCTTGTTACAAAATCAGGATTTTCCTCTTGCGTTATTGGTAAGATAATTATTACAAACATTGTCACAATGTGTGTTGTTAGCGGTGTAAAATAATAGCTTGTTTTCATTATACACTAAAGTTAATTGTTTTGCAAGTAGCGATCCCCTGTAGGCTTTGGATTTAGTTAACATTACATCTGATTGAATTCATTTGGATGTGATCTAAAAGGCACAATATATAATGCATAGGCTCTGTGCACATCGAGTTAAGCAAAAAACGAATTCCAACACTTTCATTTGAACGTTTGAATTACATTCTCGTTAAATAGAAGACACAATAAAGACACATGAGCTACTCAGGGTTAGCATGCAAAAAATTAAAGCAAATTTTTACACCCAAAGTTCAAACTTGATTGATATTGTCTTGTTGTCCACCATTGTTGTTTGGTTGGTGAATACTTGCTCATGACTATAGATGTGGGATGATTTTTTTATACAGAATCATACATATGAAGTTCATAATGAGACATAAATACATCATATTTTTTTAAAACCCTGCACTTAGGCCCTCAAAACGCTGTTTTATACCTGCAAAAACGGCATTGTTCACTTCAAATTCATTAAATTCTCTTTGCATTTACAGTCTCTTCAAAGGAAGTCCACTTACGCCGTTCGCACAGCAACATCCCCAAGGCCCGTATGAGGACTTTAAAAATGAGCATAGTTATCGTGACCTCCTTTATAGTTTGCTGGACTCCGTACTACCTGCTGGGTCTCTGGTACTGGTTCCTTCCAGAGGATTTAGAAGAGACCGTTTCTCACTCTCTGACTCACATGCTGTTTATTTTTGGACTGTTTAATGCAATCCTGGATCCCATCACTTACGGCCTCTTCACCATCCACTTTCGCAAAGGACTGAAGCGCTACTGTCGCAGCGCGGTCGTGCTCACCGAGTCAGAGAATAACTCCATCATCACGGGCTCATTGAAATGCTCACCATCCCCATTTCGCATGAAAAGAGTGACCCAGTCGGGCACAGGAACTGACCCAAAGCAGAACACAAGCACGGTGGGTGAGGAAGATAAGAAGGCAGCTGACGGTAAAACTAAAGAATAGTGGGGAAAGAAAGCATTCCAACATTGACAGCATCAGTTGATTAGAGATACGGATGTGACATGGCAGGTCTTGCACCAGCTGTCTAGATGCTTACAAGTACAATGAGACAAGAACACAAACCTGCCTGTTTGTCTGGACATCGTGAGAAAGATTGAGCCAGAGTGAGTCGATGTGTTGATTCGTTCACTAATGAGCTGCCTAAATTACTGAGTTATATTAAACACCCATCTATTTTCCTCATTCAGGTGATTAGGTTTTGCAATCATTCGCTCTTTGCTAACTATGTCAGTCTTGTGTGTGTTTTTTTTTCCCCTATCGAAATTAATTGGATGGTTGCGACTCATGGCTTTTGTGGAAAAAGTGATTTACATCAAGAGTTTTTACTTCTTTTATCAGTTCAACATCTACACCTGCAATCAAAGGGCAATGCTTTTGAATTGTTCGTTTGTTGGAGATGAGTTTCATTTGCAAACAAATCAGATGTGTGGATTTTGCATTCTGAGATATTTACAATGCAAATGAAAATGCATCATTTCTTGAATAATTCACTGGTGTTAATTGGAAATGTTCAGGAGTACCTTTTCAGGAATCTTAAAGCAGCCTCTTGAGGTTGTTTCATTTTGATGTTTTTTATTGGAAGGATTCGGAAATATTAATCTAACTCGAGAGGTCTTGCATTTCAAGGCTGTGCTGTTGGTATTAATATTATTATTATCAGGCAGCTTGGTCTAATAAAAATCTAATTTATTCATTTATGGTGTTTTGAACATACATTTCTGTATGTTCAATATAACCTAAAATTTCTGTATTAACCGCATCTAAATGTAAATTGTTTATAAATGTAATTATTTTTGAGCCTGCTCCTGCCATAAAACTAATCATGCTGCAATATAGAAACTGATATGCATATAAAGCTAAAAAAAAGGTCCAAATTAAAGTTAATAAGGTCAATAATGTCAATATTATTAGCTCCTTTAAGAAAAATTATTTTGATTGGCTGTTGTCCAATGACTTGCCTAATGGGGTATGCACACAGACTTTTCATTTCAGTCAGCCAGCCTTTGCACTTCCAGTTAATTGTCATCCCATACAAAATCGCTGCGTTCAAGATCAGATTTTTAAAAAAAATCTGTAATCTTTACTGCCTGGCTGAGATACGATATAAATTGGGTATCAGAGGAAAAAAAAGCACTTCATTAATTTATGTTTTCTCGTGCCATGTCTTTAAAATATGGAAATTAATTTTAGCCAGTATTTTCAAAGGAATTTCTGCGCTAGTCTGCTGCTAATTACAGCGCCTGAGTTTTAATGGACTTTGTCTCTTTTTACAAATTACAACCAAATGGATACTGAAGTCTGATTAACTGAATATATTTGGATTTCATTACAACATCGATGCTGTATGAAATTGATAATAGTCACGTTAAGCTTTCACCGGAAGTTTATAATTTGCTGAAAAATAATGGCTGAGCATATAGCCCATTAACTTGGCTCGTTAAGCTACTTAACCTAGTTAAGCCTTTAAATTGCACTTTAAACAGAATACTAGTATCTTGCAAAATAACCAGGAACGTGCTATATATTGTCATCATGGCAGACAAAAAATAATTGAAAATATTTGGTTTAAAGATGTGTTTAAAAATCTCTGTAAAACAGCATTTGGGAAATATTTTAAAAACAATTAAAAAACAGGAGGGTGATTATTTTTTTTTACATTTAAAACAATAATAATAATGATAAATTAATTATGATATATTATAATAAAATATAATTTCTTTTTTTGAGCAGTTTCATAATTTGATGTTTCTTGAACTGTTATTTTACAGTGTAATAATTTGTCGCAATATTACACAATGTTTAGCTGTATTTTGATCAAATAAATAAGAACCAAACTTTTCAACAGTAGGCATATTTTTTTTAAATAAAAAATTATTAAATCCAAAAACATATTTATAATTTTACAACTGTTTAATTTTTTATGCTGCCAACAATTCAGTGTCAAACAACAAATACTGTTTGTTATGCTTCTGAACGCAGATATAACCTTATAATTCCAAGGTGACTATATATATATATATATATATATATATATATATATATATATATATATATATATATATATATATATATATATACTCCAAAAAGCATAGCTATTTACGGTTTAGCTTTAAAATGATATCTAATTGATGCCCGTATAGGTCATGAATGTGTTTATGTCATTCTTCTCAGGGAAGGTGCTTCTTTTGTCACAGGGTATTGAAGTCCAACTGGAGACTGACAAACTGTAAAGCTCTCGTCCATTTTTAATGTCAGGTATATGCTGTCCTTTCTGTTGATGTTATGTGTTCTGACAGCGCTCGAAACATACGTGTAATCAAAATGTTTGAAAGTGAATTTCTGAGTGAGTTCTAGCTATGCTTGTTGTGTTTGCCGTGTCACTACAGGATGTATTTAGGCCTTAATGACCCAGATTTTCAACCTCAGTTAAGGTTTCAGCCCTGCGAGAAAGTGTACTGAGGAGGAAAATGAAAAGAGACTGAGCCTTTACTGTGAATCTGTCATGAGTGAAGGGGAATACATCTATACACTGGCATACGTATATAGTATCTGCACTTTCATGTTTTGATGGAGTCTGTTGAGATGGAAACATTAGATACGCTTTATAGGGATAGTTCACCCATGAAATGAAAGTTCAGTCATTATTTACTCACCCTGGTGTTGTTCTAATGGTGTCTGAGTGACTTTGGTTTTCAGAAAAACAAAAGGGGAATGTTTTAAAATTGAATAATTTTTTTATGTTGCGGTTGTTTATCTGCAACATCACAGATATAGACCCTTAAGACATTTTTGAAATCAATTACTCCTTTTAACATGGAAGTGTGTAGTTACAACAACTTATCTGTTTCAACTTTTTTTTTTTTTTTCATAAAAGCTGTTTCAAATCCATTAATGTAATGTGTGTAAAAGACATTTTTTGATTTAATTTACATTTTAAATTTTTATTTAATTTGTGTTATAAAAGGTCATATTTTGGTTTTGGGGATCTCCAACAACAGGCTGATAGGGGTAAAAAAATGCTTTCATTTTCTTATAATATTCATTTATTTTTACCTAATTATCCCAACAACTCCTATTTGATTTGTTCAGTGATTCATTTGTTCCTAAATCCCTCCTTTGCGTGATGCTAATCTGCACTGATTGGTCCGATGAGCCAGTCTGTTAAGATTGTTCGAGACGCGGGACGCGGCACCCACCACGGCTTATCGATATTGTTGAAATAGTGCAGAGTGTATGTGTGAGCCCAATGCAGGAGTGCATTAAAGAAATGCTGTTTACCACCAGCATATTGCTCTATTCTTAACCACGACACACATTCAGTATTAATCCACACATTGGCAAAAGCTGAACTATTTTGAAACCTTACAGCCGCACATGTGTATGAACAGCTAAGTTACAAAACACAATTAAATACATATTTTGCAAGCTAGAGAAAACAAGGCAAGCTTATTCATTGTACGCACTCACACTTGTGAAATGGAGGAAGAAACTCATCCACTAACTTAATAATAAAGTTCCTGTCAAGCTCTGACCAAGTCCCATACATCAATAATCTTTTTTGATCTTTATTTTAAAAAACAGCCAACGATTCCCTTATTGCAGGGTAGATTATTGCATAAATCGCCAGAATGTGCGCTCATTTTCAGTCATCATCAGTTCCATACACACCCGCACTATGCTAGTGTTTGAAGGGTAAGGCTCGTTCACGTTTTACCAGATCCGGCAGTTTATATTTAGTATTGTTTTGTGTCGATGTAGATACGAACAGGCAAAAGATCCGGACGAACGACGAATCATTTAAATCTTTTTTAAAAATACTTTATTTAAATCTTTTATTAAAAAATCTATATTTTTAAACAAGGTGTACTTTCTGATTGAACCCTCAGATGGATGTTTTCATTCACTTATATATGTGTTGCACACTGCATAGAAGGTCATTTTCAAAAGCCCATATTAGGGACTCTTTGCAGTGTAACAAAGATGAAATAAAACATTGGTAGAACGTTTTCATGTAAATTTTGTTGTATATTCTGTTGTATATTGTATAAGTGTGCCAATCCCAAAACGTAATTTATTATTCAACAAAAATACTGGTTATACGGATTAGTGTCATAGTTTTAATAAAGCAATATAAATAACAGCACAAAATGAAGCAAGACCTATAAATTCGACAAGTGATACTACAAAATTGTTTGTGAACATCACTGGACCTGAACTTTAACCTGAACCTGACGTTCTCATGACAATTTGTAGCTATTTATGCCAGCTTGAATAGCTGCCAGCTTGCAATTTGTAAGAATTGACAGATCCTACATTTTTGTACAAATTAGCTTATGCCCTAAATCATACATACTGTATTAGACAATCATAAAAATTAGGTCAGTTTGACAAAAACGAATTGACTTACATTGTTCTGTGAGATAGTGTTAAATGAACATGATTGCTTGTTGTTTGAACAAATACAACAGGTATATTCAGATATTTAAAATAAGGCTTAGTGATATAGCTGAAAATTAATTATGATACAATCATTGATTCATTCAGAACTTGGAGTGACTGAAAAATGTAAATATAAATGTGCTATATGTTTTAATATTTATAAATGTATTTTTTAATTATCTTATATTATAATTATATTAAATTATGTTCACATTAAATTATTTTTATTATTACAATTATTATTATTATTTTATAGATATTCTAAGAATTATAGATTATTTTATTAAGATTTAACTGGACAAAATCTTTTATGCTTAATTTGAACAACAACAAAAATAAATTTGTCCAAAAATATGAAATAAATCAGTATTAATTCTAATTTTCACATACATGTAATTTATGTTTACAGCATAAATTTTATGTTTTAAAATATATAAAATTGGAATTTAAGCATAGTGTATGTTTTAAGAAATGTTTTGCAAGATAAAATGTCAGAGAAGAGAGTATATGTATTAATCATTGTTTTTCATTAAATGTGTTTCTGAGTTGGAGTGAATCACAGTGCTAATGAATTTGTCAAGTAATTTTATTATTAATTACATTTACCTGGGCTTCTGCAGGTTTCTCCAAATCAAATTGAAGACTTTTTAAGACTCTTTTAAGACCATTTTAAATAACATTTTAGACTTATTCAGGGCCAAACCCTAAGGATTTTTTTTCTAATGGCCCTGTTACTTCTGTAGGTAGTTTTTTTTTATTTATGGAAAATTATGTAAAGGGGTGCGCTACTTCTTCTTTCTCTGATTAGGTAATTTAATTTGGAGAATTTGCTGTAGAAAATGTCTAACAGTTGTTGTGAATTGTATCTCTTTGCAATAAATGTTTTTATTTTTATTTTTTATTTTTTATTTATTATTATTATTATTATTATTA